GCAGTAAACAGTGTGAATAAAGAAATTTAATGTAACGTAAATATAACATAAAGAACTTGCTCATAGGGGGTCATGTGATCGTTGGGCCTTTCTCTGTTTTCTTTCTATTATTGTTCGGTCTTTACCTTCCAATATAAAGCGCCTTGAGGCGACTGTTGTTGGGATTTGGTGCTGTATAAATAAAACTGAATTTAGTTGAATGTCAAGGCTTGCATCTACTTGTCTTTGTTAGACGAAGAACAATGCTGTCAGACTCTCATTAGGCTTGCAAACCTAGTATTTGAGTTTCGAGTACCTTCAAGTGCTAAATAAATAAACGCCTTTTATATTCAGCTAACTCAGAACTCCATGCTTTGGAATGATACTGTTTCATTTTACAGTGTTAGGGACAATTATAGCTCACTTTCCTCAAGATAGCTTCATAATGTCACAAAGAGACAGAAAGAGAGGTACAGATAAGGGAGTGCTTACACAGAGAAATGACTGAAAGGCATGCTGCCATGTCAAACGCATTGTTTTTTTTGACTGATACTGACTGCCAACTTATTATACAAAGCACACAAGAGCTGTGACCGTAACTCACGCACCCACTCATGTGCTGACAATGGAAATCCATAAAGAATAATGCAACAGTAAACGCTTTAGAAAGAAAAACTAGCTATGACAAATTGCCACCTACAAATTTGTTGTTTTATACACATTTTGTTGCATGCATTTTGCTAGATTAGCAGTAAAATGCAAGGTTTACAGGTAAGCCTGTTAAGTAAGGAAAGTGCTGTATACTGAGCTGTTATTAAAAAAAACATAGCATAAGCTTAAAAAGGTAAGAGCACAAAGATACAAAGTATCAGACGGCTGCTGGAACCAGGTTCTCCTTCATTCTGCAGACTGCATTTTAAGGTTTTAGAAGTTTTTTTTTTTTCTCTTTATTTGGTTTTCCAGTGTTCTTTATCATAAAGGCAACTAAGATTCAAATATAAATGATTACATATATACAATAAAAATTAAACAAAGTCAAAACAAAACAAAAAAAAAGCAACAACAAACAACGAAAGAACGTTGGACAGAGGATGCTATTTATCGAACCACCAATGAGGCTCAGTGATCATTTATATCTGTACAGTATTGAAGAGATCTATAAAAGGTTGCCAGGTTGAATGGAATTCCTCCAACCTCCCCTTTAGTAGGAGTTTAATTCTTTCCAGCTGCAAGTGTCTCAATACATCTTGTATTAACGCTGATGTGGTAGGAGGCACCTTTTGTTTCCAATTTAGTAGAATCAAGCGGCGTGCCAGCAGCGTCACAAAACGTATCACATTATTTTGGGTGGCTGATAGGTCTACAACAACCGGCTTCACTCCAAATAAAGCACAGATTGGGTCTGGTTTAAGTGTTTTTTTAGAAGTTTAGATAAGATATGAAAGACATTATTCCAGTATGTTGCTATACAGGGACAATTCCAAAACACATGCGCCAGTGAAGCAGGTTGCTGTTTACATCTTTCGCAGGACGAGATTACATTGGGGAACATTTTTGACAATTTCAACTTTGATAAATGGAGTCTATGTAGCACTTTAAACTGTAAGAGTCCATGATGAATACAAACAGAGGAAGAGTGTACATTTTCCTGGGCTTTTGTCCATTGATTGTCTGTAATTCTCGTACCAAGGTCACTCTGCCAGGCCTCTCTCAGATAGTCAAGTGTGATAGTTCCATCCAGTTGTAGGTTTTAGAAGATTTAACCGAACATGGGACAAGAAATGATACAATTTCTTATGATCCGATCAATTAAGTAATAAAAACAGTGAAAAAGTCTGTTTTGAAGACTTACAGTAAGGTGCAGTGATGTGAGATTCCTCTGGAGCGCTGTCGATGTTTTGGTTTCCTTTTTATACAATATACAGTAAACTGATTATGCTCTATTTTACTTCCTCGACTGTACCAATTAGCTGCTTATCTCTGTCGACAGTGCACATTCACATAAAGAACCTGAGAATCCCCCTTCTTAGCGTGGATTCGTATGAATTAACACCAAATAATGTGGATTAGTGGAGCAGGAAAGTTATGTTTAGTATTATTAACTCGTAATTCCATTTAATTCAATAAAGTGCTGATGAATGGCCTCAAAAAGCACGGGTGTGTAACTAAGACTGTCCGAATCGTGCCGTATCCAACATATAATCTCGTGATATCAGAGAAGAGATAAAAATGGAGGTAATGGAAGAAAAAGAGGCGGCGGGATAATGAAAATGGCAAACAGGAGTAAGGGTTTCTGTCCAAGCCTCAGCCGTCTCCAGACATATCAGAAATAGAAGGCAGACTATGCGGAGATGGCTGCCAGAGAGGCAATCAATAAACTTTCACATTTCATGCTGCAGTGTGCGTCTGTGTGCGTGCGTGTGCTCGCGGTGTGTATTTATGTGACTATATGCGTCGCTGTATCAAATTTGAAACTACCTCACTGAAAGCAGTTGTGCCAGACTGATGAGACAAGCTGTCACATTACTAGAAAATGGACCCGACTACACCCCCCCAATCCCAACATATGACCTTTGAGGTTCCCACCATGATGGCTGCGGTCAAACATCATATTTTTGGCCTCGGGGCAGTCCTCAGTACTCGATCTGAAGTAAACTTTTAAGTATTGTACAGATGCACATCAGTGCCCAATTAATCTTAGCAGCAGCCTCTTCAAGGCAAATCAAAAGCTCGGTGTACGAGTCTGTGCTCTCACGTTAGGGAGAGCTGCTCGTATTGATCGACCTGTCCAGAATGCTAAAGAAGCTACACGCTGACACCGCTTTAGTGTGGACGTTCACATTAAAGACAATAACGTGGTTGATGGTGCCTAAAGGCGCCTAAGAGCGAATAGCTCGAACTTCTCTCGTCTTTTCTTATTGAATTTTTAATAATGCGATAGCATCACCTGTCCTGTGTAATTGATTGCAGCTGATCTGGTTCGGCGATGACCTTGACTTTTACCGTATCTCCTCTCTGTTTCCCTTCCTCTCTCTGCCTTATTTCCCCCTCCCGTTCATCCCTTCTCCCACCAGGCCTGTAGATCCTGCTGAAACCTCCTGTAGTCATTTTTTGCAACACCGAAAAGCAACGACTTATCTCCCCCCACGCAACCCGGGCTTAGGAGAGAAGAAAAAGAAGACAAATAAGAGGAAGAAGAAGGAACGAGAAGAGGCACGACAAATCAAACAAGAAAATACTGGAAATCCCCATCGGCCCAGCGCTGTACAACACCACTGTGGTTTTTTTGTTTGCTGGCTTTTTTAACTCACTTCTCCTCATATGTGCTTTTCTCGTTGCATCTGTCCTTTCCTGTATCAGTCTTCTCTCTTCTCCTCGATCATCTCCCTCCTGTACTTCATCCACTATTGATTATTCCATTTCTTTCTACAGTTTCCATTGTTTTCCACTTTGGCACCTCTCTCCCGCTCTGGCAGCCAAACACTGGGTGTTGGGAGCATTCGTGGCAACATGCCACATCCATAGGAGATACTTGAAACAACATGTATATTGATATTGTAACAAAAACAAAAGATAAAGAAATCCAATTCATGTCGAACCACACCTTAAACCTCTACGCTTTTGTTTTCACCCTCTTTCCCGATCATTGCTCTCTCTGTTTTCTTTCCCCTTGTTTTTCCTCACCCACCCACGAATAGAAAAATCGCTCCGATATCTATCAGCGACTCCTCTCCTGCCTCCTCGTCTATCTATTGACCTCTCTCCGTCTCTCACTGGACCGGGAGACATTGCAAAAGCTGAGCTACTGTCCTGGTCGGGGAAGAGCATTGACTTTTTGATGTGTTTCTTTCTTTTCTGGTCACAGACTGTGTTTGATCTTGTTTCACTCTTTAAGCAGACAGAACAAAGCCTGTTTCCTTTGTCTGCAGTGGTTGTTGTCTTTTAGGACGAGGTGGTAGCCATAAGCCTTCAAAGTCAGAAACTCTCTGGAGTCGTTTCTTCGATTTGCTTCTGTTTTTATTGCATTAGTTGTCATGGAGTGGAAAACAGTCTATCTTTATAGTAACGGTGTAAACCTTAAAAACAAAAAAGTACTATTATAAATATTTTATTTTTTACCATTGTATAAATATATACTATTGATTAACTTATGTACTTTGATTGCAAGTTCTTCGGTCGCCCACACAGTGGTTAAATAAAAAAAAGAGGAAACATTTTCTGTGATTTTAGGCACTATTTCTAATGCTGTTGATGTGTTGACTATTTTATTGTAACATCTTCTTTTCATTTCTTTATTTTTTTTGTTCCTTATTTTAAAATCTGTGATTAATTGCAGAATCAGGAGTCGTGTTTATATGACTGTTTAGGTTCGATTCTGTCTCCAGTCCTCTCCTGTTCGCCCTCTGTCTCTCATTACAAGACACAAGAAGACGTGTACGAAAACAAAGGCTGTGGTTTCGCTGGATAGTTCTGCTTTTTTCTCTTGCGCTCATCTAAAGAACTTAGCGTGTGTGGGTCCGTTTGGAAGACCACCGTAAAGAAAAAGATGACATTTTGAATGAGTTATGTCTGTCTTTTGCACTAATTTAATAAAGCCGTTACTGAAATTCCCACAATGTTATTTTGGAAATTGTGTTTTTCCTGAAAATCTTTTTTT